GGACTGACCTTCAGGGTGACACAGTTGTCTGGGAGCTGTTGTTCTATATAAACCTCTATAATGAGGTCTCCAGCCTGGGACAGCTGAGAAGAGGGGAAAAGAAGTCAGGAGGTCACAGAGGATGTAAAGAATGAAGGCCAGAGGACTCCTCATGTTGCCTTATAAGCACCCCCCCCAAAAAAAGTCTCCTCCCAACCCTCACTCCCAACATGGCTGGGGCCCTTGGGGGTGGCGGGCCCGCATCTTCAGGCTGCATAGGTGCTTCCCGAGAGCTCAGCACTGTGCTTGGGAGAATAGATTTGGAGTCAGATTGTCTGGGTTCCAACTCTGCCACTCACCATAGTATGACCTTGCATAAGTGACCCTCCGAGCCTGTTTCTTTATTTGAAAAATGGGACTACCTACTTCATGGAGTTGTGTGATGCTAACGTGAGACTACAGGTGCCTGGAATAGAATAAGTCCTCAGCTATTTACTACGGTGTTCATTATAGTTCTCACCTCTGTGTCTAACTTAGCGAACTCTTCCTTGGATCTCTTACACGTGGAACTGAAGGGTTTCTGCCACTATTCGTAATGGAGAATCCTCACAGAGGAATGACTGAAGCAAATCTTAAACCAAACCCCTGTCCCCAAAAGCACTCCCCTCCTTGGGTTTCCCCTTGTCCAGAAGCAGAAAGTCAGCTTCCTATCTTGATGTCCCCTCCTGGCCCACTCTGGAGCCAAGGTCAGTACAAATTACCTGCACATCCTTCCAGGTGGTGATGAGACTGACCTCCAAGTCAATCTGAGCTACCTGGTCAGAGTCGATCTGTGGAAGAGCCAAAGGGAGTGTGTGTGGTGGAGGTTGGAAGGATACTGGGAAAGGAGGGGAGCAAGGAGAGATGTGAACCACCAGAGAACCTGTGCGAGAGGGTCAGAGGCTAGAAGAGCTAAGAACCAATCAGGCAAGGATGTTAGGAGCAAGGTTATGGGTGAGAGGGGCCCAGGGCTCTAGGAGGTGGTTCTTAATGTTAAGGGCCTTCAGAGGGCTGGGGACTTGGTGGGGTGAGCAGGATGCAGAATTCAGGAGGAGGGATTGTGGGGCAGGGGTTGAGAGAGCTTACATCAAAGACAGAGACATAGCCGTCGATGAGTTCCTGCAGTATCCGCACCTCGTGTTCCCCACGCCCATCCGTCTGGAACACACTGGGTGCAAACAGCAGGGCCAGGTTCCGTGTGCACATCTGGTTTAGAGCTGCACACTTCTGCACCCTGCAGAGGGTCATGAGGGTCATGAGGAATGCAGTTTGCGCTCACCCATTTGTCAACACATCTATTCATTTAGCAAGCAGGTATTGAGTCCCTACTGTATGCAGGCCCTGAGCTAAAACACTTGGAATGCAACAGTGAGTAAGATATAATACTGGCCTCAAGGAGCTCCCAGTCTAGGGGAGAGACAGACAGGGAACGGGTGATTATAAATATAGTAGGGTTCAGCAAACTTCTTATGTAAAGGAACGGATAATAAATATTTTAGGCTTTATACAGTCTCTGGCACAACTCCTCAACTCTGCAGTTGTCACGTGAAAGGAGCCATTGAAAATATATAAATGAGTGGGCATGGCTTTACACTTTATGTACAAAACTTGATTAACAAGCAGCGGGCTGGATTTGGCCCACAGGTCATAACTGGCCAGTCTCTGTGATACAGCACGATTAGTACAATATAGCTGGGGTTCACCCGAGAGTCATTTAAAGACCTGTCACCCCAGTAGATAAAGACAGATCTAAATCCTACTCTTTTTGTCTCCTACATCTACTCCTTTGCTTGGCATGGAATAATAAAACCAAATAATATTGACTGCTCGCCATTTCTGAGTGCTTACTGCACGCATGCCAGCTGCTGTAGTTAAGAATTTTACAAGGATTGTCTCACTTAACTCTCATATCACCATGGGGTAGATACTATTTATTATATCATCTTTCTTTTACAAGTGAAGAAACTGAGGCTTGGATCCATCTGACTCTAGAGTTCACACTGAAGCTTTACGCTATAATACCTTCACTTAACAACTATTTGTGGGATGGATGAATGAATGCAAGCGAAGGGGTTGGGCAGAAGTGACGAAGGGTCAGTGAGAGGGCTTGTGGGGGGTCTGCCATACTGACCGATAGAGATGCCCAATGAGGGTGGCCAGTGTGCGGCGGTTGACCCTTGGCAAGAAGCCAATCACTTCTTTGTATTTCTCCAGGCGCTGATTCTTCTGGGGCAGCTCTGGGATTAGATGGGGGAGGGTTGGAGAGGATCGGGAAAGGGAGAGTGGAGGGATTTTTAGAGAAACAAACCCAGGATGGATGTGTTTCTGCTCTCTTCCCACCTTGCCCTGAACTGAGTCCCTGGGTGGTCCTCCAGTGGGGGGAGGGGTTGGGGGGGCTGCTCAATCCCACAAGAGAGCCTCAGGGATTCTGGTGGGGTGGGTGGAGTTCCTGGTCGCCCGAGAGGAGTGCTTAGGGATCTTGGGAGTACCGGCAGCCTCCCTCCAGCGAGGCAGCAATCGTGCAGAGGTCACGGGGTCATCGAGCTCTCGAAAGAAGCGTTTGAGTGTGTCAGTGACATCCTCCACGAAGTGCTCCCCTGGTCGGAGCTTCACCGACCGGGCATCCCGCCGAAACTCAGCCAGGAGCCGCAGGCTGCGGGCACGCGCGCCCCCTTTCCGGTACACGCCCTCCAGCCGGAGCCCTGAGAAGAGCCAGCGCCTCTGCTCACAGCTGCCCAAAGACCCCCCACCCCACCCAGCGTCCCCCTACATGGTACAGGACTGGTGGGGGACCATGGAGAAGGAAATCTGCCTCCATGGTCTTGCTTTTCAGGACGCTGCTCAGTCTTCATCTCGGAAAGTCCTTACCTAACCACACTAGCCCAGGTAGCAGCCCCCATCACTCTGTCTCCTCATCACTTTTATTTTTAAACAGCACTCTCTGAAATCACATTACAGGGCCTATTTATCTGAAGATTCTGCATTTGCAAATTCATCTACCTGCTAAAATTTATTCGTAATCCCCAAATCAATACCGGTGGCACTTTTTCAGTCATTTGTGAACATGCACAGGGCAGAGGAAAATTTGAGTTGCCTGTTGGACACATTCCCCTATAAAGTTTCATACAGTAAACAAATGTCTCTTTCATGGTATATTTACAGCCATGTTTTTTGCATTCTCGTGCTTTTGTGTGGGGGTGTAATTCCGTTTAAAATGGCCCCCAATTGTAATGCTAATAGATGTCTGGTGTTCCTAAGTGCAAGAAGGCCATGACCCGCCTTCTGGGGAAAACACGTGTGTCAGATAAGCTTCCTTCAGGCAGGGGACGTAGCACTTCTTGGCCATGAGTTCAATGTTAACAAATCACCAACACATATTAAATAAAGTATCTTTAAACAGAAACACACATAAAAGATGGTCATGTATTGATTGGTTGGTGAAAATGCGACTAGAGGTTGTCAGGAAGCTAGCCCTGCATTTCCACTGGGGCACTGATTCAGCGGGCACTCACTCAGCATCAGCAGTAACCTCACAGACTGTAACTACCTCGAAGTAAACTGATCGCATCTGTTTTCTTACTCGTTGCCCACTAGCCTCTGAGCTTCACAGGCCGTCCCCTGTTCGCTGCCATCTCCCCATGTCTGGCACGTGGGAGCAGCTCCACAAGTGTCTGTTGAACAGAGTGGCAGTGTGGGAACTGTGGAGCAGACCTGAACACCCACTCTCTTTCTCCAGGGCTTTCTCATTGGGCCTCTGACTTAATTCCTCCTTTGAACACAAGGGAGGCTGAGAAGAGAACAGGGGTCTAGTGAGTGGGGGAAGTCTTTGCACGAGGCCACCGCCAACGCATGGAGAACGTCATTAGCTGCTGACTCTCTGCTGTCCTTGTTGTAAGCACAACTATTTGTAGGTTCGCGGATGTGCTTTTCCCCCTTTTACTGCCCTCAGTTTTCTGTGGATTTTCCTTCTCAAGAGTTCAGTCTTCTAGTGAGGATTCCCTGGGAAGATAGATTCTACTTGGTCCTTACTTAGGCTGGACAACAAAGCAGAGGCCAAAAGCTCACAAAGAATTCTGGGAACCACTTGCACAGCTGATCTTTTATGCCTGGAAAACCTCCCACACAGAACAATTGTGTTCAAACCTTCAAGGATTTGGCTGCACAGCTTGGCTCTGGCCCTGTAGCTGCCTCCTCTTTGCTCTCCCTGCCTCTCCATCTCTAGTCACATTTCAGTGCCACTTTCTCTCCATGCCCACATCCCAAAAACAGCTACCTTGGAACAATTACTACCCGCTAGGTCCTGCGCTAAATGCTTTAGAAGTGTTATCTTACTATCAAAACTATTCTGGAAAATGAGGACTGGTAGTAACCCCATTGTACAGATGAAGAACAGGTTCAGAAAGGCAGAGCAGTTTGCCAAAGGTCACTGAGCAGAGGCTGCCAGGCAGCAGGCTCTGGAGGCAAAGCTCATAGGCAGCTCACTGCCCCCTGGCTCCACCCTTGTTCCCCATCCCTCACTGGCTCAGTATTGGCCAGCACCCACTCACCATGCTGGGTGACAAAACTGATGCAGGCATCCACGATGATGGGGATGTCACCTCTACTCATCTGCTGCTCCTGCAGCCCTGTGCCACCCCCACCGGCTGCTCCCCCAATGGCTGTGTTCCATGCTGAGAAGTCCAGCCGGCCCTCTCCCTGCAGATACAGGGTCCTGGGACCCAAGAGGCCCCCGTCAGAGCCATCTCCAGAGGATCCTCTGAAAGGCCCAGAATCACAAGGACCAGATTTCCCAGAGGCACCAGCAGGGGGCAGCAACATCCAACCCAGATAGGACCTCCAATGTGGGAAGAGACTTTGAGGAAGTGGACAGCTGTCCAGCAGGCCAGGGTGAAAGGGTGTGGGCTGAGCTCTAGAAAGGGGGACTCAGAGTCAAGGGTAGGGGAAGCACTTACCTTCCTGTCTCCACCAGAACCAAATGCTCCTTCTTGTCTGGGGTGTCAGCTGCCGAGACTACACCTGAGAGGAGAATCATGGAGATTATCGTCATTGTTTTCATCATCGTGACTAATATTTATGAAACACTTAAGGTATGTAGGTGCCAGGCTAGCCATACAAACAGCACTGCATTGAATCCTGTGAGTTACACATTATTACCATTTCACAGGCGACACATAAAGCTCAAGGAGGTTAAGAAACTTGCCTTTGATTACTTGCTATAAAATGGCAAAGCTAAGCTTGAACTCAGGTCTCTTATCTCCAAAGCCCTAAAACATTACCCTTCACTGTTCCTCTTTTAGGAGAAAGTGAGAGTACTCAGTCCCCTCTCCCAGTCCCCAACCAGCAAGTGACTCCAAATAATGATAATAACATTTATAACATATAGCACTTATTGAACACTTAAGAGACTCCTCCTCCCAGGTTCTGTGATAAGTGGTTTACATGCATTGCCTTATCTGACACTCACTACAACCCTATTATTGTGCCTGCTGTAAAGATCAGGAAACTAAGGCACAGAGAGGTAAAGTAATTTGTCCAAGATCACACAATTAGGAATTGATGGAGTGTAGGGGATCTAAATAAGGGCAGTTTGACTCCAGAGCTTGTACCTGAATCTACTGTGTTTCCCATAGGGACCCCCGGACAGATGAAGGTCCATTCCTCTCCCCCTCCATGGCCACCCTTCATCCCTGTCCCCACCCCTGCTCACTGATCTCCTGTAGCCGCCGAAGATGTACCATGTCCTCAGGGACTGCAGGGCCAGGGCCCGGTGCTGGACACAGGAAGAGGTGGTCACCACGAAGAAGTCCAAACCCTGACAGCCAGTGGCCGGGAGCCAGGGCTGTATAGGAGGGGGACCGCAGCCACAGGCGGCCCAGCCGCACCAGCCCAGGGCCCAGCAGCTGGTGACAGCTCAGCGGGGAGAACCACTGTGAGGCAGGAGGAGAACATAGGGAGAGAGGAAGGTGGGGAAAGAGACAGGAGGCGGGGGAAAGTGAGAGGGCCAGGGAAAGGCAGAGGAAGACGCGAAAAGAAAGCAAAAGAAAGACAGGAATGGAAAGGGGTGGGGAGGGAGTGGAGGAAAAGCCCAAGGAGAAGACAGAGATGATGGAGAAAGACAGGGAAGAAACTCAGTTCAATTCAATTTGCTCCAACCAACAGAGAAGACCCCTGTGGGACAGCCTTATGCCCTTAACTGGGATGTAAGGGTAAGAAGGAATGGGTAGCCAAAAATGCTCTAATGACAGAGTCATGATGCCCTGGGAAGTCCCCCCACGCCAAGGAGCCAGGGAGAGGCTTTGTGGAGAAGGGACTATTTGAGGTGGACCTGAAAGCAGTGCTTTTCAAACAATAGAGCAGTGAAAGCCTGGGGTAGGATGGAAGCCAGGTGGAGGTGGGACATCTATAATACTCTCAACAATAAAATTAATTTTTTAAAACTTCCAAACTGTCACTAACAACTACTTTAATAAAAAACAATAAAAATGTATTATTAGAAAAGTGAAATGAAAAAAGAAGTACATACAAAATATAAGCCCCCAATTTTTTAATTAAAAAAACATGTTTTTATTGATTTTTAGAGAGAGAGGAAGGGGACAGGGATAGAAAGATAGAAACATTGATGATGAAAGAGAAATATCATCTATCGGCTGCCTCTTGGATGCCCCCTACTGGGGATCTAGCCGGAAACCCAGGCATGTGCCCTGACTGGGAATTGAACCAGGGGCCTCTTGGTTCATGGATTGACTCTCAACCACTGAGGCACACTGGCCAGGCTAAGGCCCCAATTTTTATAATAAGATTCCACACATAAAGTCACTCTGTCAAGTTGTTATGAAAGATTCTAAAAGCTGACTCTCGAGTTCTTAACTTGTCCTGTCATGGGCCATGACAGAGTCCACAGGCCAGTAAAGTGACACAGTCTGCAGCCCACACACTGGGCAGCACCACTGCCTAAAGAATGGGCTAGATTTTTAGAAAGTGTAGATAATAATAAGAGGAGACTTGGACTTGGCTGGGAGGGCCACAACAGCACCCTTAAAGGACACATGGAACAATTTCTTGGTATGAGGAGTTATAGGGGAACCAGCGGAGTGGGGTCAGAGGAGTGTCAGATGCTGTAGAGATGACCTGGGGAGGCCAGGAGGAAGCCCTTGGACCTTGGCAATGGGAAGCCACTGGTCACCCACAGGGTAACAGCTCAGAAGAGTATGGCAGATTCTAGGGGATTCTAGGAGTAAAGGAAGCTGCAAGGGGTTAGGAGGAACTACAGGCTGCCAGGGCACAGGACTTTCTGAGAAGCTGCCAGGAGAGCACCGAGTGAGGAGTTGAAGATGAACCAGGGCTGAGGGAAACGCTGCTTAAGGATGGGAGTGATTGTCATCATTATCACCATCGCTATTTCAGCGCCCACAGATGGTGGACTTGCTGGATGCCAGGCAGTGTGGGCCTCACATGTCTCTAATTCTTAGCCTTAGGGTCTTACCTCTATGGAAAAGCTCACAAGGCTAAGAGTTGGAGGACTCAGATCCCAGGATGTCTGACTCCAGGATCTGAACTTTTAATTCCAGGGAGAGGGTGCAGGATGGAGAGAGATTGGCTTGCCTGGCAATGGAGAAGCTGGGAAAAATAAAGGCAGCTTTGCCTCTGCCTGGAGGGCTAGGGGAAGAGAAGTGGGAGGCATGAAGGGGCCCAGCGAGGCTTGGGCCCAGCGAGGTTTGGGCCATGAGCTCTGGTAACTGAGGCCTGATTTTGGTACTGTGCTCTGCTGCCTTCTAGCTCTGTGACCTTGACCAAGTGCAATCTCTGAGATTCAGTGTCTTTTTCTTTTTTCTTAATATGTTTGTATTGATTTCATAGAGAAGAAGGGAGAGGGAGATAGAAACACCAATGACGAGAGAAAATCATCGATCGACTACCTCCTGCACACCCCCTACTGGGGATGGGGCCCGAAACCCCGGCATGTGACCTGATCAGGAATCGAACCAAGACCTCCAGGTTCATGGGTTGACGCTCAACCACTGAGCCGCACCAGCAGGGCGAGACTCAGTTTCTTTATGTGTGAAATATTAATCACCCTTACCACTGAGGGTTGTTGTGAAAATAAATGAGAAATTGAATGGGCAGTGTTTACCCCAGGTCCTGGCACAGAATAAATGCTCAGTCTACCTTAGCTGTTCATGGAAGGGGTAGGAGTGGCTACAGGAATACAGAGGACAGGATGGGGGCAAGTGGGGACAGGAAAACCATGTGCTGCCAGGGAAGGGTCTCTGCTATCTCACCTTGCCCACAGCGCTGACCCAGGCCTCCAGACTGTCAGCTCCATCAGTGCCAAAATGCTGGATCCTGCCCCCCATGAGGATGAGCTCAAAGGAAAAGGGGAACCTGGGGAGAAGGCGAGGTCAGTGAAGAGAACGGGGCCCAGGAGAGGGCTTCAGGCTTGGGGCTGGGAAAGGAAAAGGGAGTTCAGTGAGCATGGAGGGCTGTTACCTGTCAAGGTCACCTGAGTCAGTAGGTGGAGGGCTCACACCCAAACATACAACATCCTGGGGCTGAATGAGGCTGAGGGGTTCGGGGCTGCTTTCTGACACAAACATCTCCAGAGCCGCTCCTAGCACACACCACAGCCGGGAAGGAGCTAAGGGGAAGACCGATGGTCAGCAGGCAGAAGATGGTCTCCACGGTCAGAACTCCTTCACCAGGTCTCTATTCTACGCCAAGCCCTCTGGCTATGTATGATCTCACATAATCTTCACAATAACCCTATGAGGAGGGAATTATATTCACTCCTGTTTTACAGATGGGGAAACTGAGGCTCAGAGTTCTAGTAGCTTGCCTAAGTCTCATCAGTAGCAGAGTTGGGATTTGACTCTGACAGTCCGACTTCAAAGCACAATGCTGCCCCCTGGCATAGTTCTCTTACCCCCTGCACCCAGCCCACTCCTGGGCACGACCCCACTTTCCCATCCCAGCCCTCCCCTCCCTGTCCCTCTGTGGTACATTTGCACCCATCCTAGTTTCTCCTTCTCTTCCCATCCCTTGGCTCCCCCCTTACCATCCCGGCCCTTGCGAGGGGGTGGGGGTCCGGCTTTGTTGCTGATGGGACCACAGTACAGGAAGCTGCTGTAAGTGGCAGGCACCACCACCTCATTGTACACGCCAAGGGAGGAGTCTGTAAGGGGAAGGAGCAGTGGTCAGGTCAGACCGGTGCAATGGGATGGTCCGAGCCCCTTAGGGAAGGGATTGAGTTGAGGAAGACAGTGGGACCGAACTCCACTGGCAGCATGACTCAGTAGAGCCCAGTTAGGCTGGACCACTCACTACTCAGATTAGAAAAGAGGGTGGGATGAGGCTTCTAACCCAGTCCTTGCCCACTGCCTCTCCCCACTAGCCAGCCTACCAGGCATTCAGTCCTGGGTGGAGGTCTCAGAGCATAGGTCATCTGTAAGTGTCTCAGCCCCTATGGCCTAACCATTGGACACCAGCATNGCATTCAGTCCTGGGTGGAGGTCTCAGAGCATAGGTCATCTGTAAGTGTCCCTGTGGCCTAACCATTGGACACCAGCACNCTAGCCAGCCTACCAGGCATTCAGTCCTGGGTGGAGGTCTCAGAGCATAGGTCATCTGTAAGTGTCTCAGCCCCTATGGCCTAACCATTGGACACCAGCATCTTTAGATGACCATTTATATGATCAGACTGCCCCCAGGGAGTTGGGTTAACCATGTCAGGGGTAGACCAGCACTAACACTTCAAATATCCAGATCCACACCTTAGGCAGTGCCCAGCATCGGTCATTTCATAACATCAGGAAATAGGCCCAGAGGATCTGGAAGTTTGGGAAACCAACCAGCTAAGTCATTGTAATGGACTTGGTCAGGGGCTAAATGCAGCTCCCTAGAAGAACCAAGGCAGGCTGGGGCTGAGAATAGTTGGGGGAAGGGAAAGGAGGCACTTATGGGGATTACCTGAGGGCAGGAGACCAGGGAAGCTGCCATCGAGGGCCAAGGGAGACCACGGCTCCTCACCCTCAGAGGTTTCAACACAGAGAAGCTGGGTCATGTTCTTCAGCAGGTTGGGTCCTGTCACAGCTGCACACAGTGCCTGCAGGGAGGGCAGGGATTCTGTCAGCCCCAAGACCCAACCTGACAGTCTTGGGGACAGTCAGCTGGTCACCAAAAACAGCCTCCTCCCCCACAAGTCTAGGCATTTCAACTCAGAAACTGCTTTCCCCCTCCCCTTCAGCCCCAACCCATCCCTCCTACCTGGAGAAGCTGGCTGTGATCTGGATACTGAGGGTGGGGCTTCCGGAAGAGACCCAGCCGGTACTTCTGGGAGATGAACTCTCCCCTAGGGCCTGGGGGTGTATCTGGATGCAGCCTCTCGCCTGGGGGCAGGGCCCCTGCCCAGAAGCGGTTGGCTCGATCATTTCCCAAGACAATGAACAACTGCAGGATGACAAGGGCAGAGGCAAGTGATGGGAACTCAAGAGTCCCCAGGCATTCCAATCCCGTCCCTAGGTGGGTCCAAGGCCTTTTGGGGATGTTCTTCCATCCCCCATTTTCTCCCACTTCAGCCTCCTCACCTGCACTATCTCATTACTCCAGACACTTGTGTCTAGCTTCAGACTCTGCACCTTGGAGATCCCGGAACCCAGAGCCCGGTGCTGACCTGTTAGGATGTGAGGGGCATGTGGCATGGGTACCCTGAGGCCTCCCGCCCTAATCCCCTCCTTTTCCCCATTTCAGCTAAAGGCTCCAGCCCTCACCGGCACACTGCTTGCAGATGACCACTCCCAGGTTGACAGCAGCCCAGTCTGGGCGGGAGGCCCCACAGTCCGCACAGTGCAGGTTTGCCCGATTAGACCAGATCTTCTCAGCCACCTCGTAGTCAGACAGGGTCTCGCTTACTGCTTCCTGTAGAGCGGCCGCCCAGCTCTGCCGAGCACCCCCAGACTCGGCTGTGAAGCTGAGGGGTGGACAGCCAGTCTGTGGGCATGGACACCCTCCCCACTTGTCCCATCCCACTGGCCATTCCTGCGGGAACCACCACAGGCCAGCCTAGACCCTCCTGAGAGCCTGGACCCTGCTCCCTGGACTCCCATCGGTGCACACCCACAGACATCCTACTTAGGAGGCCTCCAGTCCTCTGCATCCTGTGCCTCCCTCAAAAACCCCTTCCCCAGCCTTGTCTCCTGCCATCTGGGCCCCACCTGAAGCAGCGATGGGGTGTGAGCAGGTCGAAGCTGCGACTCTTGGTCTCCCGGACACTGCACCCTTGCAGTTCAATGAAGCAGATCCCGATGCCCAGGGAGAAGGCCTGGTGGGGTCAGGGGGAGGTTCAGTGAGGTGCCCGAATAAGCTAGGCCAGGCCCCTGGCCAGCCCTCCTCACCTGCTCACTCTTGTACAGCGCCAACTCTCCAGGGCTCAAGGCTGCAAACACTTTGGCCTTGTGTCCACGCAGCTCCAGCATGCCTGTGCGGAGAGGTCGGGGCTGCTGGGGGCTCCTCAGGTGGCCCAGGAGACGCTGCTCCTTCAGGCAGGATTGCAATGTGGAGCACCAAGTGTCCCGCTGAGCTGGTGGAGGACAGGGAAGCAGAGCGGTGGGCTGTGTGCGCACATGGCTTCCCCACCCCTGCCCTGACCCAGGGCGCCCTGGTGCTCACTCTCGCTCTCCGTGCGGAACACAAACACCCTCTGGCTGGTGATGACCTGGAACTTGTTGTCCTTGCTGCTGCGGGTCATCTCAATGGCGGACAGAGGGATCACACCCTTGGGGAAGGGGTCCTGGAGAGACAACCATTATCCACAGGGGCAGGAACTCAGTCATGTGTGCTGACACCAGGGGCCAGGACCAACTTTTAACGAGATCAGCACTCATTCCACAGCAGTGGGGTACAGCTGCTATCCTGGCTTCTTTAGAAGTTGACATGGGTCATGTAGTGACTGTGCCCCCACCAGGGGCTTCTGCCTTCCAATCCTGAGCTTCTCTCAGCTATTCCTCCCTCTTCCTCCCCCTCCCGTTCCCCTCCCCCTTCCCCTCTCCCTCTCCCCAGGTCCCATGTAGCATCTTCTGGACCCCCACCTTGTCATTGCCAAAGTACATCAGACTCCTCCCATTGAACTGCACAAAGCGCCTCTGAAAGACGTAGTTTCTAAGGAAGGGAGGAACTAAGATCAATGAGTAGTGGAGGCTGCATCTTGGGGGGGCTCCTAGGGCATGGGAGCACTTGGGACCTGACCCCCACCCCACCTCCCAGCCTCCCTCCCCTTCCCTTCCCAGCAGCCCTACCCCTGAGGGGAGAGCTTGTCTAGCCAGCCACTGAGCAGGGGCGTTGGGCGGTCTGCGATGGAGGAGAAGCTGGCATAGGGCGAAATGAGGTCATCACTGGTCTCTGTGTCCATGGTGGGCAGTGAGAAGGTGGGATCCCCAGGCAACTCAAGGCTGGCATAGCCAGCGTCCTCCCGTGTCTCCAGATCCTGCCTGCTGAGCCTTGTGGGAGCCAAGACAGAGAGGGACACACATTAGACCCAGTTCCCTGGATACCCTACCCATAGCACCTAGTAGAATGCCTGGCAGGTCCTGGATCTGCTTTTCAATCGGGGGAATAGGGAGGCTGGGAACCCCATGGATTAGCATGGACCTTCTTCTGAGAGCACACGAAAAATTCCAGTCCCTCTCCTCTGCCATTAGTAGATGGCTCCCTGTCACAGTTGCAATAACTTTTATTGGTTCTTTCTCCACAAAGTTCTTGACTTTGTCTCCCTGGATCAAGTTCGCTTCAATTCTCACCGGGGTGATGTAATTGCTTAACGGGTCGCCTGCTTCCACTCCGGCCCTCCCTCCCACATCCATTTTCCCACCACCACCAGATTGCTCTTTTAAAAATACAGATGAGATCATTTCACTCCCCTGCATGAAACCCTGTAATAACTTCCCATTTGTACTTAAGATAAATCCAAATTCCTTACCATGGGCCATAAGACCTTGGACAGTGAGGCCCACAGCTCATCTCGTACTCCCTTAATCTCATCTTGTATCACCCGTACCTTCGCTTACTACCATTCCCCTCCCTCCCTCAGCGCCTTTGCACATGCTGTTCCCTCAGCCCAGAATGTGCTTCCTTGGGCTGCCTTTTCTCATCCTCAGGACTTGCTTATTCCATCTTCTCAGAAAGTCCTCTATTATTTTCTATTATTTTCCAATGGCTCTTAATCTCAGCAACACAAAATCACTTGGAAAACTTAAAAATATGAGCCCCATACCAGACACTTAAATTTGAACTCCCGAGATTGGGGCCCAGGCATCTGTAGTTTTAAAAGTCCCCTGGGCTATAGGTTGCGAACCATTCCTCTGCCTGAGAAATGGAAACAATCAGACAAGAACCCCCCCAGACTCCCGGTACCTCATCTACCCAATTGCACACATACTCTGCTTTCCTCCTGTTAATATAATAAACACCCCTGTCTAAAGCCAGTCTCTCCTCTGTGTGCTTGGTCCCATACCCCTCACCTACGCAAGGACACCGATCCAGACTTCCTCCCCTTTCCCTCGCCCACATCAGCTGATTTTCCCTCTCTATCAGATCATATCCATTCACCTTTAAACATGTAGAACATTCCAGCCTATAAAAAACCCTTTCTGGACTCCACTTCCACTATTAACAACCACTCCACCTTTGCTTTTCTTTGCAGGAAAACTTCTAAAGAATGTTGTCTACACGTTTCCAACTCCTCTCCTTCCATTCTTTCTTGAGCCCACTCTGATCAACCTCCACGTTGCCAGCTCCAGAGGTCAGTTCCCAGTCCTCAATGTACTTGACTCTCGGCAGCATTTGACACAGCTGACCTCTCCCTCCCCCTTATACAAATGTCCTTCCCTCGGCTACGACATCTCACTCTCCAGTGACACCTTCTTCACTAGCCATTTATTTTCAGCCTGTTTTGCCCATCTTTCCTCTTTTCCCAAACCTCTTGATATTGAAGTGTGCCAGGAAACTGAGCTCGGTCCTCTGCTCCATGGACACTCACGGCTACACACACCCATCTCAGTGCTGACAGCTCACAAATTTAGATCTCTGGCTGGACCTCTTCCCCGGACTTCAGATTTGCATACCCAGTGGCCTGTCATCTCCTCTTGGGTGTATAATATACACCTCAAATTCAACACATCCAAAACCAAACTCTTGATCTAACCTCCATTCCTCCCCTCTCAGACCATGGCAACTCCAGGAACTATCAGTGCTCAAAACAACACTGTCCAAAGGAAGTCAATGTGAAAGCCACATAGTATGTAATTTACAATTCCCTAGTACTAACATTAAAAAAAGAAACATGAAATAAATTTTAATATCTTTTATTTACCCCAACATGCCCAAAACATTAACATTTTAGTATGCAATCAGTATAAAAATTAAGATAATTTATACCTATATCTGTTATATTAATCTAGTATTGCTTTTTAAAAAAATACTGTCTTTGGACTTTGGTAGTTGTTTCACTGTCACGGCATATCTCATTCCAGACTCGCCACATTTGGTCAGTAGTCACATGTGGCTAGTGGCAACCACACTGGACAGCGCAGGCTCAGACTGAAACCCTTCAAACCATTCTTAACTGCTCTTTTTTCTTTCACACCTCAATTTACTAGGACAGTTTGCCTTCAAAATACAATCAAAACCCAACTCTTTCTCACCATCTCCGCTACCTAGTCAGAGATGTCTCACCTAGGCTACTGTGGTAACCTCCTAATGGGTCTCTGAGCTTCCGCTTTTGCCCTCTACAGATCATTCCCAGCACAGCAACCAGAGGGATTCTTAAAATGTACGCCAAACCCTTCCAGTGGCTTCCCATTTCACTTAGAGTAAAATTGAAAGTCCACACAAGGTCTGCCCCATCTGGTCCCTTTCACTTCTCTGACATCATCTCTTCCCACTCCTCTCACCTTAGCCCATTCTGTCCTTGCCTGCCTTGGCTCAGCTCTTGTGTGTCCCTGGGCACGTGGTCTCCTATAGGTGCCTGACCTGGGATGGAACCTGCAACCTGGGTATGTGTCCTGACCAAGAATCGAACCCACCACTTTTTGGTATATGGAACGATGCTCCAATCAACTGAGCCACACTGGACAGGGCAAGCACTGCTTCCCATTTTAAATTATAAGTCAATTTGTCAACTTATTTCCAGTCTGCACCACTGAGTCACAAGCTGCCTGAGGAAGGGACTAGGTCTGTCATATTTGTCCTGTATTTGAGATACAGATACAGACCCACTGGCTGGAGGGCAGTGGGCGTTCAATGCACATCTGATGAATAACTAGATACATGGCCACCACCAGCTCCTCAAGCTTCCCCAATTTCTGTCATCACCACCCTACTGACTACTCACCTGTGCTCAGCTCTGCCTTCTCTTCTGTTGGGCGCCCCTGAGACCCCCACAGGCTGGACACCATAGTACAGGCAACCAGGGTCCATGATGTGCACTGTTGGGGAAGATGGAGGAGATGGGAAGAGGAGATCAGGTGGGATTGTCTGAGGTCCTGAAGCGCACTGTCCCTCTCCCCCCAGCCCATGTTAACCCACCTACCTGTGCCTGTGGTGGGCCTGAGGGCAGGAGTTGGGGCAGCTGTCTGGGAGCTGTCTGCAGCCCTGAGGGAAAGGTCTACTGGTCATTAAGGGAGAGGGAAGGAAGGACAAGCTCTCCTGCCCTGCTTCTCTCTGCTCTACCCAGCATGGACCCCAGGGACTTGTCCCCACTCACCTGTCAGGAGCTATCTGTGCCCTGCCTCTTAAATCCAGGCCAAAGTAGATGGCATTGGGCATCATCTCCACGGCATTCAAGGCTGAAGGCTGCTCAGAGAATGAGGTGGGGAGAGGAAGGGACCTTGGGCTGGACTCTGGGCTCCTGGGCACTTCTGGTCTCAAGAGGGCTGGGCTCATCCCAGGCCTCTGGGTGATAGTGGAGCCACTGAGCCCACCAAATACTGTCCTGGGCTTAGGCACAGGCTTGGGGGGCTGGGCTTGGGGGGCTGGGCTGGGTAATGGCTCCATGGCACTATCCAATTGGGGATCCAGGGAGCCCTCTGCAGTGCCCGTCTGCAGCAGGCGCAAGATGCGTTTCCGGTGCCCTGTGGCGCTGATGCCCAGCTGCTTCAGCTCCTCGTGGCCCAGGCCCTGGGCTGCACCCGCTGTAGCCAGGCCATGCTTCCGGAACGTGTCTGCATACTGCTCCAGGTGCACCGTGGCCAGCCACACAGCGATGTCCAGGTCCTGAGGGGCAGCCATGGGGGCTCAGGCCATTGCTGGGGGGAGGGGCAGGGTGAAGGGAGGGCTCAGGCTGAGATTCCCCCTCCCTGTCTCAAAATTTGAGGCCTGGATGAGGATACCAGACTCCAGTCTCCCTCCAAAGAAAAAGAATCAGAGGCCTGTGATCTGGAGGCAGACCTATCCCAGGACATCGGAAAGGTCTTTCTTATTATAAGAGAACCCCTTCATTTGCAGATGAGGAAACTGAGGCCCAGAGAGGGGAAGAGGCTCACCCCAGGCTCACAAAAAGTACGTTAATGTTGGTCCCCAAGCTCCTGCCCACCCTGGGTCAAGGTCCAAGCTCTGCCCCTGAGTGACTGCACAGTCAACTAAGTAAGAACAGGACAAGATGCTAGAACCCTGCAGGGATGAGATGGAGTAGAGAGGAGGGGGCCCATGATGTGGCCTGACCCTCCCACTGCACAAGGTGGGGACAGCTGCAGCTGTGGCCTAGGAGGAGGTGCAGATCCCACTCCCACTGGTTTCCAGAGCTGAGGTACAGGCTTAGCCATCCTAATCCTGGTCATTCCCAGTTCCTCCTCCCCTTCCACCTATTGTCTCAGCTCAGACTTCCTTCCTGTCCCTCCAGCCTGGCCACCCACACATCCTGCCTGCTTTGGTCAGGCTGCCAAGAGAGCCTTAACTAGTCCCAGCATGTGGGATCCTGGCCCTGGGCACAGTGGGGATGGGGTGGAGAACTGGGCCAGGGAGATGAGGGACCAGAGCCTGGGGGTACCCCAGGGTCTTACTCTCCACTCCCCTGCGGTGTGTTCACACGCGTGCATGAGCACAAGTCAGCACCCACCCTGCAGGCGGCTCAGCGATGTGAAATGACATCCCCCTCACCTCTGCTCTCTCCAAGCCTTCCTTCTCCCTGCCCATGCCCTTGGGCTCAGGTCTCCAGCCTCACCTTGACCCTGGTCCCCTCCCTGGACCTACCTCTGATTCTGCCTCCCCCGAGTTTTATCTCGGTCTGGGCCCTGTCTCTAACCCAGTCTCTACCTCCAAATCCATCTCTGACCCTCTCCGTGTTTTGCTCTGTCAGTCTCTCCTTGCCTCAGTCTCCAACTTCAACTAGATCTTTAGTTGCATCTGTGCCTCTGGCCGCCTCTGATTCTAGATTCCTGTCTCTGTCTTTCTCTAGTACGCAGTCCTGGTGACCAGGACTCCCTCTCGCCCCAGCATCAGTTCTGGCTGGGCCCCATCCCCAAGCTAAGGCCGGAGGGCTGCGCCTCGGGCCCTGACTCAGAGCCCAGTTTCCCGGTGACTCAGGCCGGGCGGAGGGCACGGGACAGGGAACCAGAAGGTGTGCGGGGCAGGGGC